AAGTGGCGACTCCATTTTTCATATAAAAAACCCTTTTTGAACTATAATTTTGGGTCAAATCGTCGCATTCTCAAAACCCCATTTAGACCCATTTTTCTTTTAAATCACGATTCATTTTCCAATCACAAAAATACATTTTTAAACATTTATTCATTTATTCAAAAAATGGGGCGCGACAGTTGGCGACTCCACTGGGGACATTCGAGAGTCCGAGCAAATTTGATTTAATCAATCTTTTTCTTCTTTTAAACCTTTTTATTTATCACATTTGGATGTTTAGGGTTGCATTTTTCCCTTTTCTAGGATTTTTGCATTTCGCATATCAACTCACTTCCTCACACATTCGCCTACGATTGTTTGGATGGATGGATGATTTATTTATGTATGATTTCGCGCTATGCATTGCATTTGGGGGGTGTGTGTCACCTTTAGAGCCTGTGGTTCTCAACCCCTTCCCTCAAAATAGGGAACACTTCATACGTGCACGTTTACTTATTGTTATCCCTTTTTATTTTATTTTTCGTGGGCGTTTCCCACACCGCCTTGTAGGATTAGGATCGATCGCCTTGGGTAGGCGGCTGGTGTGCGCTGCGCCCATAGCGCTACCTAAGGGATCACTCGAGCCACCGATCGAAGGTCTTGGGAGTGATGACCCTTGTCTTTAGGTCTGAAGGCTTGGGAGCCGAAGCCTTATCGAGTCTAGTTGCATTAGTGAGCCCCAGCCTCATGCATCCATGTTAGCATTCGCTAGGGTAGAGTCGACCTTACCCTATTAAGCACATTAGGCACGAGGGAAGGGGTTCCACCCCTTTTACTTGTTTTTATTGTATTTCTTTTCTTAATTGCTCCTAATGTGTTATGTGTACTATCAATTGCACTAACCATTCTTTTGTTTTCTTGGCTTGCATTCATGTGCCTTAGCAATAAGAGGCTTCTTTGGCACTCTTTTAGTGACTTACCCACTAGATAGCTCACATGTTTAAATTTCAGTCATTATGCTTAATTTTTAATAAGTACATTTCATTTTAGACCTCTTCCCCTCGATGCATTATTTATGCCCTTTAGGCCATATTTGTTGCATATTTACATTGCTTTAATAAAATGGCATCATGCATCTACCTTTGAAGGGAATGCCACATAGGGAATCCCATTTTAGAAATAAACCACCCCATGTCTCGGATATATAATCCAATGAGACCTGCACGTTTACCTTTCTCGTACCATCCAAAGGGGTAGTGCACAAGGTAAGGTAATGATCCGATCCTTTTAAAGAGAATAAAGCAACTTTTGCACATTAGGATATGAGCGTCTAGGAATCACTTTTTGGCCATTTTTTATCAAAATTGGTAAAATTCCCTTGCGTAAAGGACGTTAATTGGAAGAAATTCACAAATAATTCCTTATCGTTGAGACAATTAATAAATTGGGGCCAAATCGTGATTTTAGAAGGCTCATAGACTATTTTTTGAAACAACCAATGGCCGAACGATTCAGTCGATCCGTTTTGTCAATTAATTTTGAATGAACCATTCATTTGACCAATTTACCCTTTTAGGGTGATTTGGTCGATTTTTGCATAAATCATCAATCTCCATTTTATTCATTGGACCAATTTACTCATTTCTTAGGTCAATTCAATCAATTTTGAATAAGTCATCCGATTTCATTTGACTAGTTTACCCTTTTTAGGGTGATCTAGTCAATTTTGAATC